CAAGCCTGTCCTTCTAACAGTATGTTTTGTCTCTTTTAAATTCATCCAACCCATTCATATGATTTGTGACCTTTACAAATGAACTTTACGTTACCGTTTTATACGTAAGGGTGTTCTAAAATTCTTTGTTTTGGAAAATTTAATAACTCTGTAAATATTGATGATTAAAGAATTTAAATGTTTAATACAACTTTAAAAAGTTATCCCCTATATGTGTGTTCATTTATTGTCGCGATGGTAACGACACGCTGTATAACAGTTCGCATTGACACAGCATCCATAACTCAATAACAACTAATAGTTAATTAAATCGGAATATCAATGCAATGTTACTAACAACCTGCTATTTAATGAGACGCTGGTAAAAGAGCTAAGAGATCACCAGGTAAAACACAAAAAAAATTTTTTTATTTAACTAAAACATGAAAATATAAATTCACTATTATTTTTATTTGAGTCCAACTCTTGCTTATCTGGTGGTAAATTATGAAATTCTTCTTTAAAAAACATTTTACTATCATCCGCCTTCAATATTGCTGTGGTACGGCTATGCAGCAGGGTTCGCTGTTGCGTGAATAGCATCACTCATCTAGGGATTTACCAAAACCTCACAGATGAACAGCACATAGTTTTTGTTTTTTTTTTTATGTGAAAATTTGCCAAGCGAGCAGGGGGTTCACCTGATGTTAAGTGAATACCGTCGCCCATGGACATCTACTACACCCTAGGGTTGCAGATGTCTTAACAACCTTTGGAATCTTCAAAAGGTATCTTCAAATAGTAGGTAGTACAGTGATAGTATTACACTTTTGCTTTTTGTCCGGTGAGTGTAATATTCACAGCCTACACTTTTTATAGCTGTTTTTTTTTGTTGTTTGTTTTTTTTTTTGTTTTTTAGCTCAACAAGCCTACAGAAGGTAAAGTACTGTTTGCATGCTATGCATGTTTACATGCTACGCTAAAGTAAGACAATATCAGCATTTTATATAGCATAGATATACCAATGTTAGCTTGTGTTCAGTAACACAATGTACACATTTTTTTAGTATGGTAATTTTTGTTTATAATGTTCTAAAAATATTTATTCACAATAATTCTTTCCAATGGCAACCATAGTATAAAACTAGTCGTAAATTTACAAAAAGTTTAAAATTTACAAAGAGTCCACAATAAATTAAGATTACGCCTTATTCACAAAACAGAAGTGTAGGAGCAAATAGTCCAAACTGATCTAGTTTTAGTTTAAGCAATTATTCGAGTGTTAATATAGATGGATGATAAATTAGATGGAATCGGAACTGGCAACCACAGGACAGGCTTTGCCTAATGCAGTGCCAATACACAATGAAATTGTAATTACGTTAGTCAAAAAAATTTGGAATTATGGAGCCAACATCAATGTGGATGTTGGCTAGGACACTAGATCCTTCTCATTACAAAACATCAAAAAGTATTCAATAGAATTTAGAAGTCATTAGTCATTTTTAGTCATTAGAATTTTGCATAGCTCGACATACAAATAACAAGTAAATAATGAAAAAGATTCGCAAGCAGCCAATTAATTAACAACAACAATTAATTAAATAAAGATATAAGTTGATAAATTTATAACATTATTAGATGTCAATTTATTGTCAAGGTAAATCATTCGCTGGAAGAGTGCAACAAAATTCAATTTGCTTGGCTGTAAAGAATATAACCATAGCGTACCATATAACATATTATCAATAAATTCAACTACACATACATAATTTGTGGGATAGCACATATACATTGTGCCCGTGTTATATATTATATGTGTATCTTTTGGTCACCCTATTTAAAAATAGGACTGAAGAAAATTTTTGAACTGTCATCCCAAAAAAACAACAATAAACAGTTGTTGGAAACAAAACATTGAGTGTTAATTAAAGTCAGTCCATGCGTTGAAATTATTAGTTACTCTGGTCACTCAATTCCTATAATTGGTTGAACATTTCATCCATATCAATATAAATGAATTTAATTTTCTTATCATATTCGCTATTACTGCATTCCAATAAGAACTACTCTTATCAAGCTTCATTTTAAGTGATTGACAACTGTATACATCATACCATACATTACTGAATTATTACAAAACTGATAATTTTATCTAAAAATATCATGCTAAATTGAGCCATATTTAGCAATTTAAAGATATTGTGAGTTTATGGTTTGTTATTTAAGAGAAAAATATTATGAGTAAGTTAATGCAGTAGAGCCGAGAAGTATTATGTATAACCGTTAAATACATAATTTTAAAACACTGACATATCTGCCAACATAAAAAAATGGATACAAAATATAATTAAAGTTGGTTCAACATCTAAATTCTTTTCTTTTTGTACAAAGTTATGCTTATATCAAGATTTTGTATATATCATGTTCTAATATACTACGTTGGTTTAAAAATTTAAAGCAAGGAGGAAGGCGCAACATTACATAACATTATCTAATTTACAATATATGATTAATACACTCATTTATTTTTATTTATTATTGTTGAAGTTTTTTAAAAATAAATGTCAATATTCATAAAATATCTATTCAGTATCACAATCTAAAACATGTTAATGAGTTGTTTGAGTTTGGAGAGTATGGTTTAAATGTTGCAAAAAATCAACCCACTAAGATAACTGCGTAGATGGACACAATAGTTAAAGTATTCAACGCTATTTTAAGGTTAGTTTTCCATAGCTGTCCAATTGAATCTTAAATAATTAAGCTAGATTTATAAAAATTATCTTCACATTTTTAAACCAACTTATTTGTTTTTAAATTTTAAGATATAGAATAGATAATATAACATTTTGTTTTTATTGATATTATTATTTATTGTTTATTTACAGATGACTGATAAAAATTAAAGGTTAAAATGAACTTACTGAATCATTCTCTTGCTTTATAGCATTGTATATTTTCTCCCTTTTGGATATCAGGTCATTTTGCTGCTGTATTAGGTCCAAATGATAGATTAGGAGGTCTTTCAATCTCTTGTTCTGGCCTTCAGCTGCAGCTAACTTAGAAGACAGCTGGCCAACGTCACCTGGTGCAATTGGATTGCATTTTTCCTCAGGAACAATGCAATGTGTGGCTATTTCAACTTCTTTTTCCAACTGTAGTGCTCTTCGCTCGGGTGTTTCCGAATGACATGCATAGATGTGATCGAACGGAAAGCTCAGGAGACCCTCTTTTGTGTCCAGTTGATTCAGGGTTGTTAGTTCCGTGGAAAAATTCACCAAATTCGTTTCATTTACACCACTGCGATTGTTCATTTTTAAGAACCCAATGTTGATCTCGCCCGCGACAAGCCCACCGGCTGTCAAATACTAACCACCCAACCCTATAATTGTTCGTTGCATTACAACGGATTCATCAACCGGTCATCACACATAAGTTATTCACGCTGGTAGTATTCGTTCATTCGTAATTACATTGTCAAAACCGACTCAAATCTACGTACTTGTCTACCATCTATTCTGACATTTCTATATTGCACATGTAAAATGATAATAGACGCAACTATGTATTTATTGATATCACAGGATATAGGCTCGTAATTTAAGCCAGAATGAAACATTCGTAAGTATAAAATTATAATCAAATTTATATTTACGTTACATCACTTAAAAATAGTTAGTTTTTATGTAAATCTAATAAAATTTATAACAAAATTCATCAAGTAGCGTCAAGGCGTCAACCGTAGACATCTTTTAACTTTTTTGTTTGAATTCAAACACAGATGTCGGGAGCGTAGAAACATTGGGAAACAGCCGCGGGATACCATAGACAAAATTCCTTCTCGTAAAACTGTTTCTTAATATCTCAATAAAAAAATAATGAATTAAATGTTATAGTTTTAGTTGTATATTATAATTTAATTGTTACGATACTTAATAAATTAAGTACGGATAGCATGCTGCAACATGAACTATTACTTCCAGGAAAATAATATAAATTATGGAAAGTTATACCGTCACATCAATTAAAATAATGGTTTAAAATCATTGTTGCTGTTTACTTTAATTACGAATTACTTACATTATTTTAAATTATTACAAGTTATAACGGAATATACGATATATTATGTTACATGCGAATAAAGTTATTACTCTGATTAGTACAAATAATTTATTAAATATTTGATGATTTTTCTAAGTGATCACTCGATATTAGAACCCGACCGTATTTGTGGAGTTTGCAGAAATAACTTCACTCCACTCTCGAGCGTATGCAATTTAGTAGTTGTTTAGTTCATCAATATTTTGTTAAATTTAACTATTATAATATTAATACGAAATTATATAAAACCACGTACGGAAACATATTAACATATTTTGAATTTGTAATTATGTGCAAAGTCCTTTGATATATCATAGGAATTATTTTGGCTATTGGGCTAATTTTACTTTTGATCGGCTTTTCCTATAAAGCAACCTATCGGTACTTTTTCTCTGTGTCTATTTCATAAGTAAATATTTGATAAATTTACATAGGATTTAATTCACATTATTTTTTCTGATAAGTTTGTTATATAACATGTAATTTACCCGTGATGGCTGATCAGTGTCCGAATACTCCCATTTAATTCGCACTGAAATTAAATAGTTTATAGCAGTTTTAAGTGCTGACTTATCTCTTGTTTAGCGGTGAAGGAAAAGATCATAAGACGACAGTCTGCATATTTTTTACATAAAAAAATATTTCAAACATATTATATTACAAAGTCCCCAAATATCCTTTGTACAGAGGAAACCTTTGCCTAGCAGAGTTGGTCAAATATATATACTGTTACTCTACTATAAATTTACTTTATTGAAAGATTAAATGTATTTAACAATTTAGTAATTCATCTTAATATATTTTTAATGTTTAAATGTAGTAATATAAGTACTAATAGTGAACAAACTGATATTCATCAATGAGATAAAAAAAACTAATTCAAAAAGTGCGAATAAAGTAATACATTAAAAGGCAAAATGAGGTTAATGGAAAAAGACAAAGGGCTAAAAAAAAATTTAAATCTCTTTTTCAGTATTCCCTTTCCTTTGTTAGTTAACTTTTATCTTAAAATTAAGGATAAAAAACTCCTTCTACTTTACTCGACCAGCGATTGCGAAAAATTGATGAGCAAACAAACACAAAAGCTGGTTTAGACAAACGAAACGTGTTGGAGATTGGCTTCGAGGTCAAGCCAATAACGGTCAATACCATGTATCATGAATTTAAAAAAAAATGTCGTTAATGCAGCAATTACCTTTACTTACTACCTTTGACTGGAGATAATATTAGTATAAAGGTGGCAATGACTGATTCTGATTTTTTACTTTTTTTTTATTAATATTGGTCTTTTAATAAAACTAAAGGTAAGAAATCTTACTGGAAATATTTTATTGCCCTAAAATGTACAAGTATAATTATATTATCCGATGGGACATACGTATTCAAGTTTTAAGGTCGATGGATGCAGATAATCTTGAATGTTTATTATTTTAATCATTGTCAAAACGAAGTTAAACTTAGTTCCAACAAGTAGATATCAATTGTTAAACTTTGAGTCTTTCGATTTCTAAACAAATTAGGACAACGGCTGGTGTCTTAATATTTAAAATACGCTCGCTTTACACAGTAAAGAGTACTCATTAATGCTTACTGAAACATGAAAAGTCTACGCAAATTGGAATCCACCGTTAGAGTAAGAAATGGTAATAGGTTTATTGTTTAACATCGTCCAACAGGCGCGGGATTTAGGGACAAAGAAGTGTTGGAAGTTCGCCAAACGTTTCACACAACCCTACTCTGTATGTGTGTAACCATGAAAATAAACATCTATGAATAAATTCTTGCGTTTTATCCACATTTCAGCACAGTATCAAGCGCAGCCCAGCCGTACACTTGCCGTCGTACCCGACATCTCGCTGCACGTTTTTTTCACAAGCCCTATAAGCTGGCCCACCAATTCTGGATATCATACCATCCGCCCACTGGTAAGTTTTTATTGTATTTTTTTTTTGTTTATTACATTAACTAGGCACTCGGCCAATGTGTATTATTTGACAGCGCTCTTATTTTTCTGTAAGCTTCGTGGACAAAAATTATTTTAAGAAAGGTTTCTAACATTTTAGATTTTTTTTACGTGGACAAGGATTTTCATCGTCGGATTTTTTTTAATTTCTTAGAAGAAAGCCGTTGTTGTTCAGTTTGTTTTCGGGATTTTTTTTATTATTTCAGTTACCGGGCAAAATAAGTTTACCACGAGTCGGCAAAGTTTTGGCTAGAACAATTTCAGTTTTCCAAATTTTTTAGGGTCCTTAGATTTTTCAATATTTTTTAAGCCATGCGATTTTAAAATTTATATGAATTATTATGATATTTAAAAGAATTTAAGAGAATTTAAAATTAAATGCCTATAATCATTTTCAAAAAAAATATTTGAACATAATTTCCAATATATCTAATAGAAATTCTTATACTTCTATATACTAGTGATTTCACATTTTTACATTTTCACTTTATTATATGTTTTGAAAAATACAAAAGAATAAAATTTTGTAGATTTAATTTAAAATAATTTATTTGTCCACCTGACCGTAAAAAGATTTCCAACAGTTAGTGCGTAATACAATTTCTCTGATGGGTTTTGGAGTTTAGGTGTGGCATTTCACTGTGGTATGGCCACGTTATAGTACAGCACTTTTGCTTTGCACGGAGCAGCTTCTGCTGTTGCAAGAATCGGTAGGCTCGTCCGGCACAGTAACACGTTCTTACGGTAGACCAGCCTGAAGTGGAAGTACTTCTTTCTTAAGACCTTCACGTTATGGGGGCCTAAATTTTTAATTGCTGTCAAAGTTTTTATGGAGAAAAGGGGCAAACAAGCACGAGGCTCACCTGATGGTAAGTGATTACCGCCGCCCATGAACACCTGCAACACCCGAGGGCCACAGCCAAGGGTCACAGATGCCTTTTAAGAAAGAGTATGCTCTCTTCTTGAAGGTTCCCAGGTCGTAACGGTTAACGGGCAAAAACAAGAAAAAATATTTTTGCTCGAATACATAACTAAAACAAACTATTTTGCGGATTTTATCACGTTTTAATTTTTTTTTAAATTCCCGACGTTTCGAACCCTCCCTAACGATTACGGGAACTGGGATTCCGTCATACGAAATAGTTTCATTTGACCATTCTAAAAAGTTGACTAGTCCTGGTAGAGCACTGGTATTGTATTCGTAGTACGCAAACCGATCTCTTTATAAGTGTACCGGTTGCGTCGCCGCGGCTAATTGCATTTAGGCGATGTTCCAGACGGAACATTTCGGAGTAAGGGCAGCTATCAGTATGCTAATGAACCTCTGTTTACTTCTATTTATCTTTTCGGTTGACATGTTTATCGGTTTTCGACTGATTTACACCCCGATGCACTCAATTGTTGATAAAGTTGTTTGTTGACTTTGTCTCGCTTTACTGTTCTGTTTGCTACTCGAATAACACCTATGACCCAGTTTCTGGACGCATCACTGACTCGAAGTCACAGCTTCGATCCCTGTACCATGCGGCGGTAGCTTTACCTTTGTTCCCGTTTAAAGCTTGCATGTTCTAAGAAGCAAAGGTAATTTTTGCGTGATGGCAACATTATTTTAGAATGATTAATAAAGTAATCGGTCGAAAGCCTATGGCTCCGTATATGCAACTTATACCATAATAATCAGGAAATCTTGCGACTTAAATATACCTGAATTAAAATAAATTCACAAACTATTCTGAGAGTCATATATGAGAATCTCATTTCCCGGTGCAATATTGTGACGAATCCGATCGAAACAATTTAAGTTGTTAGTCGGAAAATTCATCGCTCGAATTATCACGGACATTTTTAAATGTGTGCAAAAATGTCTTTTAGCAAAAGTGCTAGAAGGGCTGAACGATGCTCAATTAGTCAAAAATCAAATGTCTGCTCATCTGCTGTCGCTCTTATCTTATTTTAGTATTGCGTTTAGATCGTTTGCGTTTGATTGTACGAGCTTTTGCTTTGATAATTCTTTTTAACAAACGATTGGCTTGAAAAAGGAGAGCTTTCTTACGACTATTGTCGTACCTACTAATTGTCTACCACGGGCAGTATAGGGCGTACAAATTAAGATAAGTAAAGACAGTAGAAAACTAGGTTACAAAGGGGTTAGGTTAGGCTAGGCCTTTTTATAGTCGTTGCTCTAAAAACAGCTTATTTTTCATCTTAAACAAACAACGCGGATTGACTTATCATATCACGACCTCAGCTTTATATATTTTTGTTGTGCATATATTATATTTTCAGGCGTATGTAGACATGATTTAGAACACAAAGGTGCAGATTAGTGACCGAGGTTTTTTCTCCTATAAATATTTTTAAACGATAAAAAACATAGCCTTTAATTATAAACGTGAAGAATATCTACGATATAACCTACTTAGTGTAAAAATAAATATTAAAACTTATTAAGAGTGTCCGCTACGGAAATACAATACAATACTATTACAAAAAAACGCTACTAAAGTTCTTACTTTCATGGGAGATACATACATACATACAGGATACTTAAAGAACATGTCACAAACACATTTATATTTTTATTTATTACTCTTGTTGTACATCGTACATTATAAACAGTTAATATTAGCGCGCCAATAGAAAAAAATGAAACAATTCTGTATTGCTTCTTGCTGAACACACCACAGATAATCAATAATGTTTTTAATTTTGTATGGATTACGAAATACGCTATTTATATCGACTTCCATAAATAATAAATACTCACTTCAAAAGTATTGAAAAAGTACCTAATGACAATATTCAATACAGCCAATGTGCTATTATCGATTTCTTAAATCTCATTATGATTTTTTTTAATCTTTATCTTTTAGAGATATTGCCTACTTATCATAAAAATAAATATCTTATACCGCTACGTGGGGCTCCTATTACTGGTTGGATATTAAAAAAAATACGAAGGCTAAGGCGGGACCTTGTGTCAGGTCTGACTCTTTAAATAAAAAAAAATATCGAACAATCGACACGAGTATTTATGTAATGGGTATGTTTTTTATCGTTTAAAAAATTTATAAGAGAAAATAACCTGTGCCGCCTATCTAAACCTTAACCATTTAATCAAAAATGTTCATCGCATTGCTAATAAAAATGGAGTGAGTGATAAAAAAATCAATACAACGTGTCGTCAGGTCTAATCGAGAAATTGAAATAAGCGGGAGTTTAAATGACATATTAAAAAGGGTGTAATGGCATTGCGTAGTCGATGAATTGAACCATTATTATTAAAGAATATTTTTTTTTTTCAATGAATTAAAAGTAAGTTGAGTTACAAAATTATTTATATGCGATTATACTCTTATTCCTATGGCTGATTTCATGGTGTTTTTCCAATAAATTTTTATTACACGTAAATTGTAATACGGATATAAAAATGTCACTACTAGTAAGGTAGTAAATAACGAACTCTGTAGACACGTTCAGGAATAGATAAATATCGCACAATAGCTCCGATTTATGTTACTTGCAAGATGAGCAAGTTTAGTTAAATTGAATTAGCACGGCGAGGTAACAACGCACTAGTAAGATTTACACTTTACTGGTTTCTCACTATCTCATTACGTGCACAGGAACGTAGTTTTCTAGTCAATCAAGTATTTATTGAAGCGATCACTTGCCCTCGGAGTTACAAAGAGAATGCAATCACTACGTCGGAGTTATTTCGTAGCACGGTGAAATCCAAGTATGACGCCGATATACCAGACGGAATATTCCTTGCGGGCAGTTTTAATTACCTATTAAAAACACTGTAAGGATCGTCTGGAATCGAACGAGTCAATCAGTGGCAATCAGCGCCATATTGGTGGACTTTGACACAAGGGCTGCCCAGTGCCTACCAATTAAGCCAATATCGGCTGTCACTTTGATTCGCAATTAAATGTGTCAGTCAAAACTGTCGTGGTGAGATGCGAGATACGTCGACTTACCAACAACAGTTGCAAAGATACACTGTTTCATACCTATTAACAAACGAACACTATTATAATTTTACTTTTAATAAGTTTTAATGATAACGGCACTGGTCCATTACGATCCTGTTCACTTTTCTTGAAGACGCCCAAATTATACATCATTTCCTGTCCTTATCTCACATATGTACGGAGTGCACAACCTGTGAATCATGTTGTAAGCGGTTTTGAATATGCTTTTTACGACCGGCCAACCCTCGATGGGAATGGCGCTCTTATTGTTCATGGTGGGAAAAATTTAATCGGTGATTTTCTATCTCTCCATTGCTAAGACGTTTGCATATTGGTCCTCCGTTTGAGCCGTAGTATGCACCCGGTTGCAGTTGACGTGGCTAACGTCACCCGGTGAGCGTTGAAGTTCAGTCCTCAAGGTCGCATACAAAATAGGAAAAAAGGTAAGCAAGCATGTCTGATGACATGCAAATCCTGATGTGGGTCGGACGTGTCGCAGCGGTCGCGGGAGGCGCCGAATAAATTGCCACGGCGTCGCGACGGGTCTCGGCCTCGTTGACTTTCCGCGTTGCCAATTGGATGCCAATTCCGTGCCGATGCCAACGGGTGCCGGGTCAAATTCGCCTCGTTGGTAGCGACCCTCGGCCCGGCGATGAACTGCGACGCACTTGGAGGAAAGATTTTTTTCAGTAAAGCGAGACAAGAACAAGCAAACCTTTAGGCAGTCGAGAAATATTCATTCAATTTTATAAGTCTTTATTTAATATTGATTCGGTTACGGCTTGTTGTATTTAACTTATCTCGTCCATCTTTTCTTGTTATTAAATTGCGTCAGAGATTTCACTGTTGCTTTAAGAGTTTTACGCGGTCGGTAGTTTTGGTTGACTACTTTTTTTGTTATTGGAGCATTGCTGATGTTCAGTTATATCGTCCTTTAGAGCATTGATGTCTATTACGATTTAGACTCACGGACATTGGATTGACATGTTTTTTGGTTGGCCACTTATTAGTAACAACCAATGCTTCATAACTTCGAGTCGTGATAGCTCAGAGCGCGGGCGCTCGCCTTTAATTCAATTTACTGGAGCAACCAGAATTTTATTCCCCGTGCCGGTATTAATGAGATTGTTAATTTTAAGTGCTGACTTACCACGTGCCCAGCGGTGAAGGAAAACATCATGAGTAAACCTGCATATTTTCGAAATAATTCTAATCACGCCAATCCGCCATGAGATTGCGTGGTTACATATGCCCTCATACCATCTGTAGACAGGAAGCCTTTTTGAGGCCCAGCATGAGATATTTACAGGCTTTGACTTTACTTTTTACTTTACTTCATTACTTGAACAAAGAGGCAAGAGAATTTAAATGCGTTTTCTCGCTCGCTCGACTATTTGCGGAGATATATCTTGCTGAAAGGGCGTGTTAAAGAGACGGAAGTAATTTGCGGTACCTGTGAAAATGTACCTGCGTCGCGCAGTAATCAATAACTTGTATTGATTAGCGTTTATCAAATATGGCGCCCGTTTGCCGGAGCCCGGGAGAAGGTTCTAGATGGCTCATCTTATACTGGACGCTTCACAAAGTCCTTATTTATTATAAAAACAGCCCTAGATATGATGTAATCGATCTTATTAGGCCACATTACACAGTTTTGTGTTGTGTTCTTCTCAAACAAAATTGAATAGTACTTGAGTCAAAAATATTTTAAGAAATTAAATGACACGGTCATTACGTTCCAAAAATAATATATTGTATAATAATTATTTATCATAAACATGTTGTCTTTACATAGTATAAGACAAAGTCGCCCCCGATGTTTGCACGCTTAGATCTTTTAAAATACGCAACGGGTTTTAATGCGATTTTCAACAATAGATAGAGTGATTCAAGTGGAAGGTTAATATTGTGTAAACATGCATATTATAGTAGAGAAATGCAGATAAATTTAATATCTACATTGCACCCGGGGCGGGTCGCTAGTTAAAAATAAAATAAAAAAGAAATTCTAATTGGTATGACTAACTACTGACGTTTGTAGGCCGGCGATGTATTTTGACGTTCATAAAAATTATCCCAAACAGTGAAAATTGGTGAACCAATAAAAAAGTTGACATTGACAAATATCATGTTATTATTAAAGCACATAATTATCATTGCTCAGATAAATAAGGCACTGTATTGGTTAGATATTGGCAGTGTAGAAGAAAAGTTCTAGTTTCATGTGTGGATTGGCACGTACGCCCATCGGAGTACCTTTTATTTTTGCGGCCGTGGACTTGACTTACCACCATATGAAGGTCTGAGGTTGGCCATGAAATGTCGCCTACAAGCGTTCGCACCCTTGCACTGACCTTTGCCAAGCCCGAGGTCACGCACGACCCTCCTCAGCGAGGTAGGCACGTTGACAACATTAGGAGTTTATGAGATATTTACGTCTTAATATCCACCGTGAGACCCAAGCTTGATCTCGTTCTGCCACTTGCTTAAACGTAAATTAGTAGCTAACTGAAAATAAATTAGTATAATCACGATATATAGATCATAAGCAGTGCCGGATTAAGCAAGCACAGGGTCCGAATACTTTCAAACAGCCTTTGATCTACTATTTGTTTTAAGTATAAAGTGGAAAAAAAACAATTCGATACCCTACTTATTTAATATGTTTCACTCAAGTAAGGCGATGTGAATTGTGATGGTCAAGCAGTGATGAGTTGGTTCAAATATGTGGGGCCCCTTTTAGCGCGGGGCCCGTAGCAATTGCTACTCTTGCTACGTTATTAATCCAGCATTGATTATAAGTAGTAAATTATTAAGGCGTCATGTAGTATTTATGTAAATAAAAAAAATATTATAATTTTGTAATAATTGGCATCTGCTGCAATCCTGAGTGCTGAATTAAGGGATAGATATATCGATTCGCGAGACCTTTTTCATTAGGCATAGCTTTGATTCTAGGTTTACTTTTTAATAAATCTTACGTTCCTTTTTTAAGAGATGGTAAAGCAAGCTCGCAAGTTCCCAAACAATGTCTCGCGAACTCACGTTACCCCAAATATTTAACCAACGAACCCTGAACTACAGTCGATGCAACCGGATATGTAAACCAATAATTCAATTATTTACACAAACATCACATTTCTTAGAAGGGCTTACATGCCTCCGTGATACAATGTATTTTTTTTTTGCCCGTAGTCGGATAAATGGAGGAGATTTGTGACCGCTGATTTTTCCAGATCTTTCCAATATCAAGGAAATAAAATCCGACGGTAATAAAACTAATCTCATATGGAGATCAAAAATTATGTCAAGAAAAAGTTCCCATATTTATTATTGGCGCGACTGATAAACGAATCAATTCACTCCCGTGTCCTAAGCCCGAATGGCTTCGATAATGTATTGCGATGATTTTTTTTACGAAGTTTTTGTTGAATGTTAGAATAGTAAAATTTAAATTATTCTTATTTAACGGTAAAGGAGGATAGCTATTGCACACATTGACATTTACGGGAATATTTTGCCAGTAGTGGGGATCGAACTCACACCCTGGTACTGGGTAGTGTACCTCCGTCCTGCGACCAGGAGGCAGGTACACTACTATACTATACTCGGGTTAAACCTATTGAATCATCAATCAAATAAATGAGATCTCTTTCAATCATTAATAATTTCCATATAACATGATTAATTATATTGTAAATGCAGAACATAACATATATAGGTTTTGCGTCACTGAGGGTGGTGGGTGAAAAGGGGGTTTGTGTGGGCGGATTCTACCTCCCCCCACATTGACCTAACCCCACTTTGACCTCCCCCCTCATCCTCGCCCGCTCGGCCCACACCACCCTATCCCCCTAGATCCTGTCCCCTCCAACCTTCCAGAAGCAAATGGAAAATTTATTATATCTACATTGTTTAAAGCGTTATAAATTAATTTTTAAACATTATTTGTAAAATTTTGCATCTATGTATTTGCAATGTGTATTTTGCACGCTTCGTGTGTAAAATTAAATAGCACATTTGCACATTTGCAAGAGTAATTTTTAAATGAAATTTCATTTAATTCCCCCATTTACATCCAACCCATTAGTTTTTCCATTTACATCCAAGGTATGAATTTATTTCATAGCGGGATTGATCTGCAGTTGGGTCCAATATTAACAGCCCGTCAATACTAAAAATTCAATATCATTCATTGTTGTGATGCTTAAAGGTTGCTAAGCAATCTATATCTACTGTGAATAAGTAATATGAAATTACAATGGCCGGATTATCTATACTGTAATGCGTTTTGGTTTGTGTTATCTTATAGTAGCGACACGCCCCGGCTTCGCACGGGTGCAATGCTGAATGTTTGAATTCGACATCGCATTAGAAACCTCTAAAATTAAGTAATAAAAACGGCATCAAGATCCATTGCGTAGTATTAAAGATCTAAGCATACATAGGAATAGACAGACAGCGGGATGAATTTGTTTCATACTATGTAGTGACGTACATTTGTCTATCCAGGCGCGAAGCACACATCGAGCGGGGATGAAACTCCGCCCATACCCGAAGGAGAGCTGGAGCAACAGAAAATCGAACATGAGAAGAAGGTGCAAAAGGTAAACGGATATAACAAGAGAAACTTTCCAGTTTTACCGCAACAGTGAGGTATTATATGTATGTAGGTGAATAAGCCTATATATGTTCCTACCTAAACAGTAAGGTAACGGCCTATATGTTCCGCTGCTGGACAGGCCTCCTATGTACAGACGGTATTACAGATGTCCATTACGCGACCTCACTGCGGGTAGGCAGACTTCATAAATGTCTTCGAAATATTTTTTTCTTTTTATTCCTATAATATGCAGGTTTCCTAGATGTTTTCCTTCACCGATAATCATTTGTTAAATAGGCACGTAAACTAACAACTTCAATGTATTATTTTGATAATTTGCTAGCTCCCCGACACTAACCATAGACCTTAGAGTTTAGACCTTAAACAAATGTATGTACCAAGTCATAGATAAACGTGTATAAACCCTATGTTGATCCGTAACTGGTCAGAACATCAGAAAGACATAACAGAAAGACATAACTTCGCCAAGCTTGTCAATTTCCAATCCCATTTAATCATACCGTGACAAGGCTGACGTTGGGTTAATTTTTGATGACACCGCATTATTGGTATAATTAATTTCGCACACTGAAATTAATTATACCAAAAAATGTTCTATGAATACTCATAACCTGTCACCATATACAGTGACAGGCGTTGAGCCCGTCACCATCACAAATATATGGGTGGGTGACGCTGTATTAGATCCCACCACCGGGATCGAACCCAATTCTTCTATTTTAATACTTTGAATCGCCTAGTCTCGACATCAAGCGGTGCAGCATAACGTCACGACCCTGACCTAGAGAAGGGTGAACAAAACGCTCTGATTAGCATATTCCTGACCCACCTCTACGCGACATTGACACTTGTTGGGTTTCACGGCGTCGCATGCCACCTTTTACGGCGAGCCTATACCGTAGCTACCTCTCTTTTACTAACATCGCCCTAACAACCATTGAAGATACAGCTTTTTATTACTGACCTTTACCTCTTTTCGCATCCTTTCAAATCTCATTGTCTTTGTCCATTATTGAGAAAAGCGAAATGTGTATGTACAGTCAGTGATGTTTAATTTCGCAAAATAGCTCGTTATCACGATGTTTTTAATATGCAAGAAGTCCTTTTGTCCTTGTGTTGTACGTTTGGCAATAAGCTTATAACGAACGTCTGTTAATTAGCACTGTAAAAAGTAGACAGCAAAATCTCCCTCCTTAAACAGTGTATTATAATTATAAATTATTTATAAATATAACAAATATTATCAGGTAATTAAGAGAATGAATCATTCCGCTACAAAACATCCCATAAATTCACCGCCGGACCAACAAACTGGATGTTGTGTATCACGTTATTCAAAACGTGACCCTATATAAGATTCCTACCAGTAACGTATCTCTTCCAGCGCTGAATAAATATGAAATGGAAAATTCCAGAAGCTGATACTGCGACGCAGTATTGTTTCTCTTATGAGGTGACGATGATTGTAACGGATGTTGGTTGGTCCCGGATGGTTTGCCAAAATAAATATCACTCTATTTATGTAGTTCTTTATTAATGCAACATTGTTTAGATGTTAAGGTTTTTTGAAAAGAAAACTCTCTTCTTAAGCTTTTTAGCACTTTTTGGGTGAACCAAAATCATTGAACTCGCGTCATCGTCACCGAACGCTTTTTATTTATTTTTATAATTTTATTATTATATATTTTAATTTATTTTTAATTTGAGTATAATTATTAACGATTATTTTAACATGATAATTATTTTATTTATGAATAAATATAATAATTATTGTTAACTTACTTAGTTTTAACTTCTATCGGCAGTCCCCGAAGACTACCCCGCAATTTTTGTACAAAGTATAATAAATGTTCGAAAATTAATACAAAATAATAGCGAATAAAATCGTTGAGGGTTTTTTGACTTTCCTAACAATGTGCTTAATAAAATTTTGTGAGGTGTGTGTAAGTGCAAACGTACATATATACAAATGATAAAAATTACTAATATTTTTGAGAGAGAGAAATAACTCCTTTTACATTTACCTACAATAAGAAGTAATAATAATCACGCCATGCCTGACGTTGTTTCGAATGATTTATTCTTACGCGTCGCAAGTTCTGAATAAATGCAACATTACCAACTTTCAGAAGCGTAGTGGCAGTGTAAGCAAAGTATGTGCACGTGTAAGCCGTATGGTGACCATGATTTTAATCGCTGTAGAAGTTGAAATTAAATCTTTTACCTTTGTTTTCAACTCTTATGTTAATGTGACATTAGATACAGTGCTGGATTAAGCCAGGGCCGGAGCCCGTAGCATACTCTTTCAAGAGCCCTTTATCTGCTATGGGTTCTTAAGTGTAAAGTGGTAAAAGAACAATTACAGTACTCAATACATTTTGCTGTCTGTAGGTTACAATTTTGTGGGTAATTAATAGTCTAGTAGATTACTACAGGCCCCATATGGCCCACAAGTACAAAAAGCCAGAGATTAGATTGCCTGACAATTTAGAATAATTTTGATGAGAAAGTAACAATCGAAAACTGATACTACACAAATAATTTTTTATATACACATTTCAAGTAAATTCAATACCCTAAAACATCTTAATAGGCTTTACTCGAAAAATGATGCTCGGGTAGAGATGCAGTTGCTACGGGCCCCCGTAGCAATTGCTACTCATCACATAATCGATGATATTAATTCTAGGCAGTTTGGAAGTTTGAAATTCATCTATACATGTATGTCATATATATTTAGTTTATGATTAATAATATTCATATAAATATTTGTATATGCGCACACATTATATACATTTTCCTACTTTTATTAGATTTAAAGGAAATTTATTTATTTCTTATATTTACTTTTTGGTTTAGCACCTGCCATCTACTCACCATGACAAGGGTTGACTAGTAGAGAATGCTATTAGGCATTAAGTCCGCCCATTGTAGTCTTCAGCCTAAGGTGTAAGAATTAAGTATAAATAAATAAATAAATAAATGTGCCACCACTATTTTTGATTGGAAAAAGAGTATAAAGTTTAAAATATGGTTATAACTGGTCTAACCTCGCAATGTTACGCTTGTCCTGCCACTGGGAATATTAGTCAGAATCTTATTTGAATAAATTCAAAAGTGCACCAACCAATTTGAATTACGACGCAGAAACTCTGTCGACGGGCTTCAATTTTGCATACCCTCAAGCTTTCGACATATTACGTCAATGCATAAAGGAAATTATTAGCGTTTAGTATTTATATTAAATTAAATTATTTTGTGATTATGTATTATTTAATCGTGTCTTTATTTTTTCGTCTTGATTTCTTCATTTCCAGCGTTAATGGTCCATGCGTTCGGTGACCATGAACGTCAAAATTAACACGCGATTAAATCCGTAAAATGGTTTCATTTAATGTTATGTATAATATTCGCGTAAAAACATTATATCAATAAGTGTTAAGTACATTGAATTGATTTCGTTATTTAATGTATTGTTCATGACTTTTTTTTTTCTATCACATAACGCGAATGGACCAAAATGTGAACCGTTTACGTCCGAGCTCGTATCAATCCATGCAAATTTTGTTCAAGGAAAAGGAATGCCAAGCTAGGGAGGCGGAGGAAGTCAGACAACTGGACATAAAACTCTTACACCAACGAGCTATCGAGGCAGAGGAGGTGCAGAAAAGGGAGGTTCGCAAACTCAATTACCTTATTCTTAGTTTTAGTTATTTCTTTTTATAAATATTAGTTGGGGAGATACGCACACTCACCTTATTCTTAGGCTCAGTTAGTCCTTTTAGATATATTTTTGGCCCTAGGAAAGTTCGAGGCTTAATAGTCTGAGAAGTCTTGTCTCGAGCTAATGCTCGAGGCATTGGAAGTGAAAAGAAGGGAATGGCGAAGATTCGATACCCGCGCCAGACGAGCTTATAGCAATAACGTTTCGTCTCTCGGTGTTTGTAAGTACGCAATTTGATAACGCCAAAAAGGGTGACTCGGCCACGGCAGCTGTGACTTTTAAATCCCAAATTATATGCCGATAAGGCAAGTATACACGGCACCAAGGTATGTCTTATACAGAATCGTCATTATAATCTATATCTCTCTACGTTACATAAATCAATATGTTTGATACCTAACTGCCATTATTTTTTTTTATTTGTCTTATCCATCTCAATATATTCGCATAAAGATTTATTAAAATCTTATCCTTTAAACGAGCAATTCTTGTATATATATATATTTATATATATATATATATATATATATATACATAATCGGAATCTCGGAAACGGCTCCAGCGATTTTCATGAAATTTAGTATGTGCGTAGATTCGGGGGCGAAAAATCGATCTAGCTCGGTTTCATTTTTAGAAAATATCCTTTTGTCCCTGTTTTCAGAGAATGAAAAATTAATTCGAGTATGAGGGTACATTTCGCCGCAAGAGAAAATGTTATAATAGCTCGGCCGGTAACCTGGCGGCCCCAAAACAGACGGCCGTGGTTCGCGTCACAATCATTTACACATTAATTTCTTACTTTTTTTTTTTCGATTCCAGATCATTGCTTTCTTTATTTTTAATTTTTTGTCGATTTGATATTTCGTTATTTTTTCCCTTTTTTTTTAAAGTTCTTTCTTTTGGGAAAAACATCAGTTCATATTTTCTTATTATTACGTCGGTAAGATCGAAAGATATTATGCATATTTCATTACTCAGTAATTTGTATCTAAATGTAATTTCCAAAATACACGATATACCAAAAAAAAAAAAAACAAACCGGTCCTCCGGGTACTATAATGTATATGAAAGAACTTGAATCTATTTCACAGTTTACACATATTCGGAGCTTCCTTTATGATTATGTATAACAACAGAATTAGGTACAAGAAACATAGGAACAAACACCGGTCCGGATTAATTATCTGTGACTGACAGAAATACTTGCTGGAATCGAACGCACGAAACCGGGCGTCAAAGCCAAAATTCTGTTCACCCGTTTATCGGCTACAAACTCTCCGTGCTCTGTGCTAATAAAAAGTCCTTTTTACGAAGTTCCTGAGTGGAGGCGATATTTTCTAATGTGTTGATGACTCGATGGCGCCGTTGGTAAGCTATTGACTTCGGTGTCAGGGGTCGTGAGCAGTAGGGGGTATTCCCACACTAGACAAGTATTTGTGTGACCTACAAATAATTGTTCCCGATCTGGGTGTTTTGTTTCCCAAGGAGGGTTGATGTCAGGGGGATGATTGATGATTGTATGACTTTTAGATAGCCGAGGCGGTAGAAGAGTTGCGTGGTATGAACACCTCCTGGTCGCACCATAGGCTGTGCGATCTCCAGCGACAAGCGGCCAGGTTTCGCCAGAGTAGACCCTCAATCCCGGATACCACAAAACACTATAGGGTAAGGCTGCTTCTAACCCGTACACCTGTATCGCTTTGTCTCATGTCCATGGGCCTTAATTATTTGCTTGCGCTGTTTTAGTGTTTCAATGATATTTGGAATGGCGATAGTTTATACATGTCATAGGATAGTTTTAAACACATAAATATTAATCGGTCGGAAAGTATGGAAAAACCCCTAATTGAATAGTGTAATTTGTAGGCGTCAGAAAACTTACAATGATTTAGTAAATTAGATATATTAGTCGCGAATGCGGTTAATACTATAGCGCGATGTAGGTAGTTTTAAATACGACGAGACAAATAAAATTCGATATAAGGTTAATAAATTGCTAAGTTAATAAGACGTTTCTACTGTAGTAGAAATGGAGAGGCGCGCCCGGGGAAATACTGACGTAAAATTAAAATTTTGCGTTCCGTCTGATGGGTGAGGTAATTGGGATTGGCGTTTTTAAAGGTTGTCAACGCCCTGCTTGCTTGACAAATTTTTGACATAAAAAAAAGAATACCTACAGTAAAAGTGTGTTGGGACGACACACATAGTTCGAGCAATTTGCAAAAATACTTAAGAGATTGAATATTGGCTTACATAACAGATATGTTCAGCAGTCTATCGATACCAGTATCATCCCCAACATCTAACCCAAGTGTTGTTACCAGTAACAACACTTGGGTTAGATGTAGGGGATGCTACTAAAGGGTATCCCCAATTATTATCAAATCTGTAATTAGCGTTTCATATATGCAGTAGATTATTAGCTGTAATATATATACAGCGTGTCGTTACAACCGCGACAATAAATGAACGCACTAATAACGCTGCTTGCCAATAATCATAAAAAAATATAAAACATTAAAAAATCCATAATTAAATAAATATATTTTCCAACAAACTAATTAAATAAAAAGGAATCAAATTTACATCCTATGCAACTATAACTGACTGATTTCATACATTCAGAGACTTTTTCATAAGTTGCCAAAACGTCGCATTACAAGTTTCTCCTTCTAACAGTATGGTTTATCTCTTATCCTTTAAACGAGCAATTCTTGTAGATATATATATATATATATATATATATATATATATATATATGTATATATATATAATCGGAATCTCGGAAACGGCTCCAGCGATTTTCATGAAATTTAGTATGTGCGTAGATTCGGGGGCGAAAAATCGATCTAGCTAGGTTTAATTTTTAGAAAATGTCCTTTTATCCCTGTTTTCAGGGAATGAAAAATATCAATCGTATATGACGGTATATTTCGCCGCAAGAGAAAATTTCATAATAGCTCGGTCGGTAATCGGGCGGCCCCAAAACAGACGGCCGTGGTTCGTGTCACGATCATTTACACACTCTTTTTTTTTTTTTACTTTTTTTTCGATTCCAGATCATTGCTTTCTTTATTTTTAATTTTTTTGTCGATTTGTTATTTTGTTACTTTTTCCCTTTTTTTTTAAGTTGTTTCTTTTGTGAAAAACACCACTTCATATTTTCTTATTATTACGTCGGTAAGATCGAAGAATATTACGCATATTTCATTACTCAGTAATTTGTATCTAAATGTAATTTCCAAAACACACGATTTACCAAAAAAAAAAAACAAACCGAGCAAAGCTCGGTCTTCCGGGTACTCTCTTTTTAATTAATTCAACCCATTCATATGCTTTGCGACCATTACAAATGAACTTAACGTTACAGTTTTATAGGTACGTTTGATCTAAAAATTTTTGTTTTGTAAAATTTAATAACTCTGTAAATATTGATGTTTAAAGAATGTTAATACTTAATACAACTTTAAAAAGTTGTCCTCTATATGTATTGTAACGACACGCTGTATATACATATAATGTATTACATCTAATATATCATATAATGTGTAATATATCATACAATATAGCATATAAATCTGTTGGTGTAGGTAGAGACTGGAAATTCGACCATTCCATTTGACTTGCATTGAATCAATTGAAGGGAATATCACTGGATAGTTTTGTGGTGTTATGGAAATGTTAATGTTTTTTTTTTTCTCTTTGCAGAGTGTACTGAAAAAAGCGTGCAGCGCGCAACTGACTAAGCCACAGTCTAGTCAGAGTATCAGCGACAACGACGGCATATTTATCAACCTCTCCCATTTAGGCTCCTGTAGAGGTATACAGCTTTATTTACTTCGTAATAATAAACGATAGTATCGTTGGCTCCACAACAATCTTGCATCGAAGCAACGGCACTGTTCGAATACCGGCCGAGCGGGGGGTGGGACTCGAACGGTTCCGTAACGTTGTCTATGAAAACAGCAAAAAATTCAAGTCCTTTGTACGGGAGCCCCGTTTAGATATTTCTTTCGTTCCGTTTTTTTAGTAATTGTTGTCATAGCGGCAACAGATATGCATAATCTGAACATGTCAAGTGTGTAACTGTCATGGTTCATGCGACACAGCCTGGTGATAGACGGACAGATAGACAGATAGCGGAGTCTTAGTAATAGGGTCCCATTTTACGATTTACAAACATAAATTTCACGCGGACATACACCCAGATGCGAAACAAGTATCTGTGGGTCACACAAATAGTTGTCCCCGTGTGGGAATCGAGCCCACGGGTCCCGACGCTCTTGATAACTGTGCCGCGGATTCGTCATAGTAAAATACTAAACAATACTTATGCAGTGCCGGATTAACGACGTAGCAAGAGCAGCGATTGCTACGGGCCCCGCGCGAAAGGGGCCCACATGTATAAACCTACTATTACTATACTACTCATCTCTTAGTAGTAGTATTGAACTGTTTCCTTACCAATTTATACTTAAGAACCCTTTGCAGATCAAGGGCTGTTTGAACGAATTTGCTACGGGCCCCGCGCTAGCTTAATCCGGCACTGTATTGATGTTTCTAAAGTGATGGCCAGTGGAGGCTGCCACTGGAGAACCTTTCTTCCCCACAGTTATCGGTTCTACGAGCTATATGGCCGGCCCATTGCCACTCAGCTCACTTCACCTAAGACCTACTGAGCTATGTCTGTTACGTTTCTAACTTTGATTTGTAAAGATTCAACTCGTCCCGCAGACGAGTCGGTGGACAGTGACACCTGTGAAACCACCTGCACCAGCAGGGGACGTGGCTGGAGAGCGTCGGCGAACGACGTCAGCCCACAGGTCACCGTGGACCTATCCCGTGCACCGTCTTGTCCCGGGTGAGTCTGATCCGTCACTCGACAGCCAGCGGCCACTGTGCCGCCTTATCGGAGCTGCGACTTGGGCGCGCTGCGATTTTAGACGTCTGGTTCAATGTCATATCGGTAATTGCCTTAATAATTGAAGGTGTGCCTTGACGCTACACATAGCAGTACAGTGTCACATTCTAGTATCCGTTCTACACCTCTCTGTTAAATCATACCACGGCCGAATAAAATAATGTGTTCTTATCTTCAATTCTTTCAAGTTCGTGTAGAAACAATTGCTTTCTCTCGAGATCTCTTTACTCGCAATATGGATAAGCTAAAGTTATAAATATTTTATTGTCACCATATATAAAATAAGCACACAGGTAAAACATGAATATAGGCAAGTTACGAATGTTGAGCAGATAAGGAGTAGCTGCGGAACTGCTACGAGTCTGACGCGACTTTGTTTTGATTTTATTAGGAAAGCTTACACCTATTGAGTACTTATATCAAAATATAATAGCAACATATATAAAAAGCCAATAATCAAGTTTCCACATTTTGACGACCCGAATGGCGTAGTCGGTAGTGTACCTGCCTTCTGCGCCAGAGGGTGTGGGTTCGATCCCCACTACTGGAAAAATATTGTGTGATGAGCATAGTGTTTTTCTAGTGTCTGGGTGCTTATATATGTATAATGTGTATATATTTACAAAAGAAAAGTATATTTAAGTATGTCTATCAGTTTTCTAGTACCCATAGTACAAGCATTGCTTAGTTTGGGACTAAAGAACGTTGTGTAATAAGAATGTGTCATAAAGAGTTTGTACGGAATTATATGTTAAGGAAAAACCGATCATTGCGAGTCGAACTCGCGCACGAAGGGTCAAAAAATTATGTCTTTCAATTTATTTTAATCTCTACTTTAGCATTTGTTGTTATAGCGCTAACAGAAATACATCATTTGTGAAAATTTCAACTGTCTACTATCACGGCTTATGAGATACACATAGTGACAGACAGACAAATTCAAATATCTTTATTCAACATAGAAGCCTTGCACTCACTAATACAAAATATTAATAGGTACAAAACATAGACTGACAAAATAAAAATACAAAATTTAGAGAGACACAGCCTTGGTAATTGGGCCCCGTTTGGGTACGGAACAAATTAAAAACATAGTAAATAAATCATAGTACCTGGAGGACCGAGCTTTGCTCGGTTTGTTTTCTTTTTTGATAAATCGTGTATTTTGGAAATTACATTTAGATACAAATTAGTAAGTAATGAAATATGCATAATATGTTTCGATCTTACCGACGTAATAATAAGAAAATATGAACTGGTGTTTTTCACAAAAGAAAGAACTTAAAAAAAAAGGGAAAAACATAACAAAATAACAAATCGACAAAAAAGAAAAGATAAAGAAAGCAATGATCTGGAATCGAAAAATAAGTGTGTAAATGATCGTGATACGAACCACGGCCTTCTGTTTCGTGGCTGTTTGTTAGCGGCCGCCCGATTACCGACCGAGCTATTAACATTTTTTTTTTCGGTGAAATTTACCGTCGTATTCGAATAATATTTTTCATTCCCTGAAAACTGGGATAAAACTACATTTTCTAAAAATGAAACCTAGTCAGATCGATTTTTCGCCCCCGAATCTACGCACATACTAAATTTCATGAAAATCGCTGGAGCCATTTCCGAGATTCCAATTATTTATATATACATGAATTGCTCGTTTAAAGGATAAGATTAAGATAAAACATTGCTTAGCAATTTTGTAGAAACTTAGTAAATATATAAACATTGCTTGTTAAGGTTTCCTTAGCCACAGTAGGAGAGGTAAATAACGATATATCGTGCATTAATAAATTTGGCAGCCCTAATGATGAAATAGATACATCTGTGATTCTTATGAGCTCTGGGTATGTAAAGAAATTTGCCTTTTTTTCTATAGGTGACCTTAGATAATAGTTTTTGGGAGTTTATTGAATTCTCACAGACTTTCAGGTAAAAACACGTCAGTGATGTGACGCCGGACGGAGAAAGAGCTGTTTGATATCGAACTTGGGTTTATATTTGGACTAAGTGGGAACTTTTACCCCAACCACCTTGGTGGTCCGTTTCCTCAAGTTGTAACCAATCTTACACGTACGCTAAGTCTGAAGCAATATGCGGTGCTATCGCCTGGTTTCTGAAACATTGATCATCGTAGAAGTCAACAACTAAACAGCTGTCAAATGGATTTTCAATTGTTATTTGAGGTTCCAAAATGATTGTTAAACTCTGAATCGATCTTAATTCCCAAAATGATCAATTCAAAGAGTTAAACAATCCTTTTGGCAACTCAAATAACATTTGAAAAGCCATTTAACAGCTGTTTGGTTGACTTCTAAGATGATCAGATTCAAACCGGGCGTAAGTATTGTAAAAACATATAATATGTTACTATATACAATATTCAGAGCAGACGCTCGGTACAATTAATACATGTACCGACGGCGTACGTATGTCGGGTTATTGATTTATGGAGGGCCCACCCCTCCTAAATTGGGGAGGACGCGGTACGGCGCTATTGAATATTTATATGGAGATAAACACCATAAGGGAACGTACAGGTGGAAAATTAAACTACCGGCGCCGATGGTCTATGACAGGGGTGGCGTTTGGCGTCAGACGTCTGTGGGCCGAGGGGTGGTTATAAGGGGCTTGTTATGATATATACATTTAAACGTACTGACACAGAGTGTGATACACGCGTGTATTTGAAACAAAGACTTCGATGACGTCAATTTTATTCGACCATTATCAAAATTCTTCTGTTATTCCGAAATACATGTCAATTATACGTGCTAGTTTATACGTGCGACCTTTTCCGCCTCGATATCAATGTCTAATTGAAATGATAATTGAAATTCCCGCTTCTTTTGTCTCGCAAAACACATTGTTTCGGTCATTCCATCGACAATGACACATTTTACCTAAAATCCATATTTTTCTATGCAATAGCTCTCTCCATCCCTTTTTATTTCACCCTTAACTTTATGATCACTCACATGTGGTATGTTTTCTTATTAATTTAATTTTGATTGCTACTTTCTTTTTATTATTTATTTATTTTTCTTTCATGTGCCCATCAACAATTCCTTTTGGTAAATTTTTGAGGAATCCTCCTCAAGGCCTCGGTCGTTGTTTTTATGATCAATATTTGATAAATATTTTATTTTTTGTACTTTTTTATTTATATTTTTTGGTGTACAATAAAGTATTTTATTGTTATGCACCGATAATCGAAATCGAAAACAAATTGACAAAACCATTGTTTCGACATATTTATTTTTTGTTTCGTCTATAAATAGTAAATGGGTCGTTCATGGAGCAAAGTGTGCGCATGTGTAAAAAATTTCCACAGTCATTATTAAGTCTGCCACTTGATCAGTTTAATCGCAAAATTAAAAGAGAACTTACGGCTAAGGCGTATTATCTATACCATTGCGGAATATCTTGATGACGCCATTGTGTGGCGGTTCATACTGTTGAAACTCACGTAGGCTATAATAACACTTATACCTGTCCTATTATATTGCAAAATCGTTTTAAAAAAGGAACAACTGTTGGTTTCTTGCCCGTTACTACTCCGCAGAAACTGCGAACCGGTGGCAACTTATGAACGTATTAATTTCTATGTAAAATTTCAACATTTCACAAGAATGTGCAAGCGTCTATGTAAATAAAAATATTTTGAATTTAAATTCGAATTTGGCCACCTCACCCGCTACACTAAAGTCAACATTGTATTGTTTTCTTGATTTTACGCGAATATTATACATATTAAATGAAACTAGTTTACGGACTTTATCGCGTTTTTTGTTTTGATTTGAACTCCCGACGTTTCGAACCCTTTCCAGCGTTCATGGTCACTGAACAGAGTAAGTTGTCATACGTCTCGATGTCATAGTTAACACCGGCTACCGTCAAAATTTAAATACTTCAACTTCACGCCTTTTTTCCCTTTAAGGCTGTGGAATGTGTGCTGGCAACCTTTAGAGGGGTAAACCACAGTTATCCCGTTCTCCAAACGAGATATGTGGTTAATTTCACTTCGCATCGGTTTTTGCGAGGTCGCGGTACTTCCCTAGACAAGTTTGTCAATAGGTGTAGATCTATTCTTTCTTTCTTTATTCTTTATTGTACGTAGAGTACAAGTGAAAACAAAGTTACAAAAAATAGTCAAAGGCGAGCTTAACCCTAAAAAGAGTTTTCTACCAGTAAACCCTGACATAAGATCGATGAGAAACAAATCATGATGTTATGATAGGTAGGTGTGTAAAACTAGATTACTTATACTCTAAACTCCAAATATATAAAGAAGAAAAAAGAAATGGAATTAAACAAAATCATAAAACGTGTAATACTATAAAATAATATATAATAATATAAGTATTACCATAAGTAATACTATAAATAATACTTTAAAATATATAAATATAAAAATAAAGATAGTTTCTATTTGTATCTATTGTCATAAAATAAAAATAAAACAACAAAAATGGCCTATAAAATGTGTCAATTGAATTGAAGTTTCAACCCAGTTGGGATCCTACATTCCATGTTATTTATCATTTTACGTTATTACGATATCGTTTTTACCTCTTTTTTATGTAAGATGGCAAGCCAGCTGGCGGTTCACATGATGTTAAGTGTTAACCATTAACATTTACAGCACCCGTAGAGTTGCATATGCGTTGCCACGTTTTAGTGAAGTGGGCCCCGGTTACCTTACTCACTCACTAGTCGAATCACAGATGAATTGGTAACACTTCCACTTTACGCCTAGGGCTGCCAACCATAACTTTATAATAATGTATCGTACTTTGTTTTTGGTAAATATACTATTTATACTTTGCATAAAAATGATGTAATCTATTTTCAATCTTTACTGAGTGGCATAAAAATATAACACAATCTTATCTGGTTACCTATATGCGTAAGTACAGAACTTCAATCTTTACTTCTAATTTGAAACAACGCTTTCAATCAATTATATAATATGATTTAAAAAAATATTTTCATTCCAAGAAAATTTTAAATTTTTTTTTCTTTTCTGATAATTTGTCCCTTTATACAGCGTGTCGTTACCATCGCGACAATAAATGAACACATATAGGGGATAAGTTTTTAAAGTTGTATTAAACATTTAAATTCTTTAAACATCAATATTTACAGAGTTATTAAATTTTACCAAAACAAAGAATTTTAGAATACCCTTACCTATAAAAGCGTAACGTTAAGTTCATTTGTAAAGGTCACAATGCATATGAATGGGTTGAATGAATTTAAAAGAGATAAAACATACTGTTAGAAGGAGAGGCTTGTAATACGACGCTGTGGCGCGAGTTGTATAGGATGTTACAACTTTTGTTTCTTTTTTACTTAATTAGTTTGTTTGAAAAATATTTTTTTTAACTATGGATTTTGTTTAACGTTTATATTTTTTTATGATTATTGGCAAGTAGCGTTAGACGTGTGTTCATTTATTGTCGCGATGATAACGACACGCTGTATATTTTTCAATCTATAACATTTGTGAAATCAGTGTGTGCTACTGTGTTCCTTCCCAGATTTTTATTTTTAAATAAGGATTGTAAAATAGGTGTAACTGTGGTTTTATGCTAGAAGCATACAAAGATATATCTTCAAGAGGAGAATTATAAATAAAATTTTGGAATATACCTTTTTCTTCGATAAAAAATAAAGTATAAAACTTTATTTTTTCTCTACTTATAAAATTATACTTAATTTTCCTTAAAAACAGTTGACAACCCCAAACACCGGTCTTCTGACAGGTAGCTGCATTTCCCCGTGCGGCCTGCCCATTCGTGCTATAGCGGAGAATGTTGCCTATATTAAAAATAAAATTCTATAAATTTCGCCATACTCACTTAGATTTCCAGTTTCTATGAATAATAAAAATGTATTTCGAATTAATGGATTGATGTTTATACGTTATGTATGCTTAGTCAAAGTTTAGTGAATGACTACTGTTTTACACAAGTCATTCACCAAACTTTGACTAAACATTGACTAAACTTAGCGCCATCTAGTAAGGAGCATTGTGTATTATATGACAATACTTCAGTTATTAAAATATAAATTCGACTAGCGACGCAGGTTTCAACAGACGATGACTAGGTATTCGTTTAATTAAAATTAATTTTCTGAATTAATTAAAATAAGGGATTAATGTCAGTTATTTTAAAAATGCGTTTAAGTAATAATTAAAATGAAACATGCTTCTTAATATGCAGTTAAATTTAAATGCACGTAGCGCCACCTAACGGCGAATGTTGATAACCATATACAAAGAAAAGTTTCATCTCATAAGTTCCCTGTCTGTCTGTTTAGATTTTGCACATTTGTATTAAGACCTTAGGTAATTTTATTCACCCTATTTATTTAATAGATATTATAACACTTTAAAAACGAAGATAAATAATTCTGCAGTTTTGGGATTGATTCCAAACATCTGTAAACATCTGTAAACTGTTTGAGTTATTATTGATACCAAGCTGCTGTCCGCGGCTACGTCTGCGTAGAATAGGCTGTAGGCGTAACATTCGTACAGAAAGACAAGAAAATATGTATATAAATTATAGCCTGTGTCTTATTCTGGTGTACAAGCTATATTATTGTAAAGTTTCATTAAAATCCATTCAGTAGTATTTGCGTGAAAGAGTAACAAACATCCATCCATACATACAAACTTTCACCTTTATAATAATTATTCGCTTAGTTCATCTTAAATGATTTGGAAATGACATAAATAAAAAGATTGTATATAAAAGAATGTTACGATTTTATCGCGTTCATATTTGTCATTGAAATTTTTACTTATTAAATGAAACTACTTTACGGGTTTTATCGCGTTTTTTATTTTGATTTAAATTCCCGACGTTTCGAAACCTTTCCAGCGTTCATGGTCACGGGACAGACTAAGTTGTTATACGTCTTGATGTCATAGTTAACCCCGGCTACCGTCAATTATTTTGTTTATTTTTATTCCGATCCACGCAGAAGGAGCATATGGTATCTCGAGGTCTGGCAGTGTTGATGTGCTTGGATTTAATTTTATAAATTGTGGGATCCCAAGCAGATGATGAACTCCAACCATCTTCTCTATTGAAATTAGGATGTTTTTTATTTAAATATCCTCGTCGATCATCCTTGGAAGGGATCGGTGTTCTTTTGCGAGGATTTTCGGTTGGTTCGAAACGTCGGGAATTGAAATCAAAATAAAAAACGCGATAAAATCCGTAAAGTAGTTTCGTTTAATATGTATAATATTCGCGTAAAATCAAGAAATTTTATTTGTTACAATACAGGAACTTTAAAGTTTATTTCTCCGGGACTTAAACTAAGATGACACGAAACAATGGAAGTGTTGATGAAGGAATGATAGGCTAAGAGCATTAAGATATTAGGTATTTAATCTACTCTTCTATAACCATAGACAGAATAGTGCCGTGACAGCTCGGTGTCGGAGAGCTCGCCTTTAAATCAATATACTCGAGCAACCGGAGTTCGATCCCCGGTGCCGGCACCAATGAAATTGTTAATTTTAAGTGCCGAATGATCACGTGCTTAGCGGTGACGGAAAACATCTTGAGGATACCTGCATATTTTCGTAATAATAACAAAAAAATATTTCGTAGATT